AAATACAGATCGTTTTATTGAGTACCAATATTATTTAGCAATAGTTACCATTTTATTTAAAATCTACCATTCTTACCATTTTATTTAAAAAATTATTAATCTACAAAAATATGGACTTGAAACGGTTATTAAAATTAATCATGATTTTTTTTTTAAAAAATTGAAAAAACATACCTAAAATACATTTATTGTCCTACCCTGTATTCCTACACCATCCAATATATTATATTCCGTCCAAAGAGAAGGTCCTCGACACCCCTACTAGGTGTAGGTATCTGTAATTTTAATTCTAGTAGTTTATGTTCATTTATAAAGAAATAAGTTGGTACAATTTTTTTTTGGGACCCAAAGCGGGAAATTAATAGATTTAAAATTTCATTGACGAATGATTACTTTAAAATATTATAGTTATAATCTGAAAAAATCTGTAGTAAAAAAAATTGAAGTAACAATCCTAAATACACCCTATATGGAGCTTCTTCTGGATCACCTTGCCAAATAAATTAACGGAAAATGGTGTAGAATATTCTATTTCTTTCTTAAGAACTTCTGACCTACAAAATTAGAATGTACTTCATTTACTAGAATTTTAATTTATTATTATATCTACGAGTATTAGATTAGATTATTCAAGGTGGCTATCGGCCTGATCCACTGCGACCTTTTCAGATCTATTGTGGTCCTCTTCTGATCCTTTAGGATACATTCTCCAGTCCTATCCTTTTCAAAAAGTACTTGAAGACTGAACCACAGGTTTGAATTTTGGCGAATGTTCGACTTTTTTGCCTGTCTCTGCCCTAGTACATTTTTCCAGAGATTTGTTGGCCACCCACCGTTTTGTGGCCATCATCGTGCTTCTTTTGTAACGCCACAGAAGGGCCACAGGGGACCTGTGAATAGCATTGATGAGCCTGGTTTGGTCATTTTATCTGCCTTTTCGTTAATCTTGTGACTTTGGTGGCCTGGTAGCCAGGCTAACGTAACATTGCTACGCTCACCCAAAAGAATTTAGAGCACACACAATCCCGCACTGCAATGCCTATAACAGCATAATAGGGACCATGCATTTTTTACGAATTGAAATAAGTTAAATATACAAATTATACAAATTTTTTTATATCCATTGTTCCAGTATCATATACCTGACTTATTATTGTATTTAGTCATTTGGCTAAAAAATAATAAGTAGGTATGTACTTCTATCATAAAGTAAAATTGTATTCATTTATGCTAAATACTTAACAGAAAAATCCGCTGTATAACAAATGCTGCACTAAATGCAAAATAGTGCTACTATTGTTGTTTGTAAACAGTTAAATTCCAGTATCTCAATTAAATCAGAAAAAGTAGGTTACTACGCTATAAAGGGTATTACATCAATGTCAGTGATAGGTGTTTTTAGACGATTTCTTAAAAGTTTCCGGCTTTTTGGACCTATTTGCATAGCGATACGTATATTTTTAGAAATAGGGATTTATAAAAACGTCCATAACTAAATATCCAGAAATAAGTAATATAATGGAAATTAAAACAACTTTCGGTGCACGTCATCAATGACACCATGCGTTGTCTTATGGAGTTTGCTGGTGGTCGTATTATGATGTGTAACCAAAGTTATTTTAATTTCCCTTATAAATATTTATACTTCCTATTTAAAAACAATATTGACATTTATGGATTAAAGCAGATATTGAGAAAATATTCCCGATTGATGCTAAAGAATGCTAAGATGCTAATTAAGATGCAGCATAATATAGATAGGAGTGAGGGATATGATCATAGAGCAATATTAATGAAAAATGTTTATCTGACAATTATTATTAAGCCGCTTTTAAAACAACATTTTTAATTTCCGTCTGTATTTGTGTTTGCTAAATTTTTCATGGGTAAACGGGTGTTGCAACATCTGAAAGACTTGTACCGGTTCTTTATTGTCTATCATTTGTGATAAAAATAGGCTTAACTATTATTGGGTTATTAAGACTGCAAGAGTTTTGCATGCTGGGTCTTGATCTTGTGTAAATCGTGGCACTGGTCGGTATTGGTTTTGGTCTTGGAGATCTAGCGCTAGTCCCGTGCATCACTAATTTTGTTCAGGACTGTAGATCAGCCTGTGTATAAAAACCAAAGCTGAAACAATGATAAGAGTATTTGGATCGGAAACTAAATACTCCGAATCAACGGGCACCTACCTCAGCTGATGTGGCAAAATTCAAAACTTTTTTGATTTTTTTAATAGATGAATCCGTCACAGAAGTATAGACATTTTTTTCCTACTGCTAAAAGCTACTTGCTATAGCCCTATTTTTTATAGAGGAAATGTATCAGTTACCAGCAGGTTTAACTTTAAATATAAACTGTAATTTTACTTATACAGGGTGAGTTTCCTACGATGTTCTCTATGGGTATCTCGGAAACTACTGGAGATAGAGAGTCGGTTAAATGGGGAAAGAATTGCAGTTTTATGGGGCCATAAATATGTGCCTTTCAGATTTTGGAAAAGGTTCATGGCTTACTAGATATTTTGAAAAAAACAAATTTCGGCTATTTTAAAAACTGTCCAAGCTATTTTAGACAAAAAAATTTCAGATAAAAGTTGTAGATAATCACATCCTTCAAGAGATCGTGTCTCCGCTTTTTTCTAAGGCCTGTCATTTTTGACATATGATACAAACTTATGTTTTTTTAAATGGAAACCATAGTTGGCCATGACTTCATAAAAAGCGCCGTTTTTTAAGCTTTTTAGTGATATAAGCTATAATATCTTTTCTTCGAAAAATTACTGAGTTATAGCCAATTCTTATCATTTTTAAACAATTTCACTTAGTTAGCCATGGAAACAAGTTCAATCGCAGTTGCTCTCAGAAATGTGAAGCTGTCACATCCAAACTTTATAAATTAAAATAAACAAAAATTGTAAATATGAATTTTTCAAATAAAAAAAAGCGCGTAGATACTCGCGCATCAATCCAACATGACTTTCATTATGACACACTACCTGAAATGAGTCCGTAAAATAGCTGTTTTTGGGAGCGTATGACAAAAAAATTATTTATATCATAATTATGCAAACGCAGGGATAGGAAGAGGTGGACTAATTGAATGGGCCTTCTCGATCAACTTCCATTTTAGAATTTTTTATGCGGTATGGTTAACAATAAGGTTTACAAAATAACTAATGAATTAAGAGAGGCACTCAAAGTGGCGGTACGAGAAAAGTTTAATTAAGTCCTTCTGTGAGAATAGGTAGTAATTCAGTTTTAAAAAGATGCAACTCAAATCAATGGTGGATTTTTTGAACATTTTCTAAAATAGCTTAAAGTGTATGTATTGATATTATTTTTTTAAACTTTACGAGTAGTTTGTGTAATAAAAATTGTAAAGAACCGTTTAGTAATATATTCTGACTTTTTATAAGTTATAAATCATAACAGAATAAAAATACTATGCAATCTATGTGAAATTAGTCAAGAAAGATAAGAATTGTCTTTAACTAAATTTAACTTTCCCAACATGTCTTGAAAACCGTTCTCTAAAAAACGTAACATTCACCGGTCAACGTATCCTCGAAAATGTGTGGTCAAGAAAAGTTGAACCAATAATCCTACACGCTTTTCTTCATTTGAAAAATTCATATTTACAATTTTTGCTTATTTTAATTTACAAAGTTTGGATATGACAGCTTCACATTTATGAGAGCAAAGACGATTAAACTTGTTTCCATGGCTAACTAAGTGAAATTGTTTAAAAATGATAAGAATTGGCTATAACTCAGTAATTTTTCGAAGAAAACATATTATAGCTTATATCCCTGAAAAGCTTAAGAAATGGCGCTTTTTATGAAGTCATGGCCAACTATGGTTTCCATTTAAAAAAACATATGTTTGTGTCATATGTCAAAAATGACAGGCTTTAGAAAAAAACGGAGGACACAATCTCATTAAGAATGTGATTATCTACAACTTTTATCCGAAAACTTTTTGTCTAAAATAGCTTATAATGGAATTAGTGACAATTTTTAAAATAGCCGAAATTTGTTTTTTTCCAAATATCTAGTAAGCCATGAAATTTTTCAAAAATCCGAAAGGCGCATATTTATTACCCCACAAAACTGCAATTCTTTCCCCATTTAACCGACTCTCTATCTCCAGTAGTTTCCGAGATGCCCATAGAGAACATCGTAGGAAACTCACCCTGTATAGCTAATACATAGCATTTGTTTATCTTATTGGTAGGTATCTCTTTACCCTGTATTCTGTATAATCTAGGTATATTATAGATTATATAGTATTTTTAATCGGTAATCGGTAATAATTACACTTCATCTGTAATAATGATTAAAGATGACTAATCGAAGATAAAATCAGAAGCAAACAGAAAAAAATCAATACTCTTAAAACATATCGAAATATATGCTAATTTATTAATTATATTACCTTTTTATTGCAAGCGAAACGGGGTTTCAAATGCAAATTTCACCCGATAGTGAAATATTTAAATGCACTTGAATGGCATGTGTGTGAACAACCGACAAATAGCTGCGCATTAACATTTTTTGGTGGCATCGTACATACCTATTATATAAAGCTCGTTACATTTAGTGGAACTTTATCAAGAAATAGGATTAGATAAGCGCTGCTCTCATTTTTACTGAAATGGAAAACAGGAAGTAATAATGTGGAAATTTTGTGTATATTAGTAAAGATCTTCATATTTTCTAATTTGATATAGGAATTTGATATAGGCTCCGACAAGATTTAGATTTTTTTTCTAATATTTTATGAAAAAAAACATTCAAAACTTTACAGAACAATTAGGTACTACAAATTATTAATTAATGTGATTCTTCTAAAAATACCAGTGAATTTAGGTACATACCTAGAATATTTTTTAAGACTTCCTTAGTTAAAAAAGGATGTATTTCTAGAAAAAAAAACTTGAATGTATCTTTATATGTATTCATAAACCGTTATTTTATTTATTTTATGATTTTGTTTCAGCCAAACGACAAAGATCATAATATCAAACCTGGGTCCACAGATCAAATTCGAAGACATTGAATCACTGCTGACTCAGCATGGCCGCGTCATTCAATGTGATAAACTTACTTCTAAGGACCCCAGCACGCAAGTGGTGCAAATCACATACGAAACACCAGAACAAGCACAACAGTAAGTAAACATATTTATTTATTTGTTGATTTAACACAGCAGACAGCAGATTTTACTACAGAGATTTATTTAATGACAACAAAAACACACACACACAAAATATAATATTGCAATAAATAAGTACTCATATCTCAAGTAAAAAAATAACAGTTTTGTCAAACGAAAATAATCTTAAAGTTTAACCATAAAGTTATACATACGCCAAAAGAACATAACTGACAATAACCAAAGATTAAGTGATAGTATCATTTTGAGATAATGAAGGATTTTTACATTTTATAACACTCTGTAAATGAAAGAACTTAATTAATAAATATGTTTGAAATATATCGATTGTAACAAAAACAACTGAGCTATGCAAATGACATCAATTTCATCTGCAGATATTGAATAATAATTAATAACGCTATACAGTTTTCTGAGAATTGCTTTCGATTTGTACTTGCATGGAAATGCATCCATCACTTTATCTAAGATATAGATAAACGTCATTATTATTTTAGATTAAAATGTGGCTAATTACTAAACGATAATAATTCATTTATATTTGTTCTATTTTGGATTGCTTAGTAAAATGGAAAATTACTGAAATACAAGTTTAGTTTATAATAAACTCCAAATTTATCGAACGATAGAATTCAACTAGTCTTTTTTCTTCTCCTTCTTACAATAGGGTTATTCTTGTAATAAAACAACTACTACCCTCGTGTGGTGTGAACCGGATTTTTCTTTCGTACTATTTTTTTGGTGGTCTGCCAAGTGGTCTGGGTGTGTTGGGTATTTGTGTTCGCGCCCATTTTGCTGTGGCAAAATCGTGTTCTATTCTTTCAACACGTTCTTTCCAATGACGCCTTCTTGTTCTTTCCCATCTCACTATATCTTGTGGGTACTCCCAGTTCTTCTCTGATGTCATGCATTCGAATTGTGTGACTCCGCGTATTGTTCTTAATACTTTCATTTCTGTTGTTCTGAATAGGTAGAGTATATGAATACAATACTTAAACAACATAAAAAAACACACGCAAAGAAGTGAAACATTGAAGTCTGACATTGCATACCATGTATGGTCCAAGCAACATAACATAAAGTTATTAGAATCCCGGATTGTCCATAGGGAACCTCATTGGAAATTTAAAAAGTCGTTTTTATAGCAAACAATAATAACGTAGAAAGAGTGGAAATTTCCACGATATAGCAACCAACCACTTGCTACCAACCGCATTGGTAAGCGGGCATTCTCAGCGAAAAGCTCAGACTTGACTGCATCCAACTTTATCACGTGTGCTGCCTTGATAACTTGATAACGGTCAGTGATACATCTTACCGAAACGTTGTGTAAGTTAAAATAAATAAAAAAAGTAAATGTTGAGTTAACGTTCTTTTTTGTTGCCAATCTGGACGAGACCGATTTGTTTACGTCGAATACGAACCGCGGTACTCGGCCATAAATTGTCAATGAATGACCTATTAGTTCGGGGCACTTATGATATTATTGGGAACAAAATAACATAAAGCTGGAACTAGTCTTAATCGATAGCTTTTATAGTCCGATTGAACATACTAAAAGTCCCCATATCTCCCACTAGGGGAACACTGTCAAAATGACGCCGCCATCTTGGATTTTTAACATTTTTTTCTTAATCTGGTCTATACTCAAAAACTACTTATTTTTAGAAAAATTATGAAGAGGAAAAATTTTAATACCGATAAGCCTCTGACCTTCCTAAGTACTACCCTTATCAAGATATGTTAGCCACCCGACAGTATACTTGCAGTACTGCCCAAAGTACTGACCAAAAATTTTTAGGTCATTATATTATTTCATCCATCGATCTTGTCACTAGCTTTTTTATAAACAGCAAAATATTTACTTATTTTAGGTTAAAAACGAAAATTCGCCAAAAATTGGTATGTTCATGTTCCTTCTACGTACCTATCTTGGTAACGGTGCTACCTAGGAACCTCGAAGGTACCTGTAATTATAGAAATTTTATCGGTCTTTCATTTGTCTTCCAATATATTTTCTTTAAAAATTAAAAATTTTTGAATAAATGGCAAATTTAGAAAAAAAAGACAAAAATCCAAGATGGCGGCGCCATTTTGACAATGTTCCTCTTATGGGAGGCATGGGGACTTTTAGTATGTTCAATAGGGCCCTTAAAACTATCAATTAAGACTAATCTCAGCTTGGACCGCGGCCGCGGATTCCGCGTAAACAAAGTAGGCCCCGTCCAGATTAGCCTTGGCAGCAAAAAGGAGACGTTAACTGAAATCTTTACTTTTTCTTTTCCTTCTACTCTGCTATTATGCTAAATATAATTTTTTATCTGAAAAAATAAAAAAAGTTATTGGGATGGTTTTGAAAATCACCCTATATACGATCATGCATTGTTATAAATATTGACAAGTAACTTATGCTATTGTCAAAATTCCTGTCATCTTTTCATCTGACATACATTAAAATTTCAATGAATGGAGCAAAAAGGAGACGTTAACTGAAATCTTTACTTTACTTTTATCTTTCTTGACTAATTTTACTTAGTTGGCATGGTATTCATATTCTGTTATGATTTATAACTTATAAAAAGACAGAATATATTATTAAATGGTTCTTTTCAATTTACATTACTCAAACTAAAACTTAAAAACTAATATCACTATCCCATACATTTTAATTTGTTTTAGAAAATGTTCTCCCGCGTCTCTCTCTTCGGAATTTCTCTTTCGATCATGCAATACCTCTTCCGATCCATGAGTTTGCATAATTATGATTTAAATAATTTTTAATATTTCTTTTATTATGGGGAGGGGGGGGAGGTGTCATAATGAAAGTCATTAAGATGTCTTGAAAACCGTTCTCTAAAAAACATAAGTAACGTTCACAACGTTCACCGGTCAACGTATTCTCGAAAATGTTGAACCAATAATCTTACACGCTTTTCTTCATTTAAAAAATTCATATTTACAATTTTTGTTTATTTTAATTTACAAAGTTTGGATGTGACATTTTGCATTTCTGAAGGCAACGACGATTGAACTTGGTTACATGGCTAACTAAGTGAAATTGTTTTAAAATGATAAGAATTGGCTATAACTCAGTAATTTTTCGAAAAAAAAAACATTTTCTACCTTACATCGCTGAAGCTTTTTTATGATGTCATGGCCATTTATGGTTTCTATGGTTATTTTTAAAAAAACATATGTTTGTGTCATATGTCAAAAATGACAGGCTTTAGAAAGAAAAACGGAGGTCGCAATCTCATTAAGGATGTGATTATCTACAACTTTTATCTGAAAACTTTTTGTCTAAAATAGATTATAATGGAATTAGGGTCAATTTTTAAAATAGCCGAATTTTGTTTTTTTTCGAAATATCTAGTAGGTAAGCCATGAACTTTTTCAAAAATCTGAAAGGCGCATATTTATGACCTCACACAACTGCAATTCTTTCCCCATTTAGCCGACTCTCTATCTGCAGTAGCTTCCGAGATACCCATAGCGAACGTCGTAGAAAACTCACCCTGTATAAAGAGAATGGGAAGGTGATTTTTTTTTAGTATCAATACTAAATCAATTGTCTATCACACTCAAGGAATTTCTAGCACATAACGTTACCGTATAACCGAAATAAAATGGGATCAACTATGCTTAGAAATGATGCTCGATGACTTTCCCTTTATAATGTGACATCTATTATGGGATACTTATTTTCACATCTACTCTTGCGCAGCTTTTATTTCGATTGTAAGCAGCAAATTAGTTTTGTATATCTTGATGGCTTCACTAAGTTGACTTTAACGCTAGGTTTGCCTTATTTATTTGTTTACTAGCTTCGGTATTCTTACTACCTCCAAAATATGCTCTTTATATAAGTTTAACCTACTTTTTATTATTTAATTAATATTTTTTATTTTTATTTTCATATTATAAACAGTTGCGTTTTGTGCCATTTCTTTTATACACAATATAGAGCTTATCTTGATGCAACTGGTAATATTTTGATGCCATTAAATAATCGACTAAAATTGATTGGCAGACGAGTTTCTTCTTTATCTCTCATCTGTAAATGTCAAATTTGTTACAATGTCGCCCATCAAGTAGTACTCACCTTGCGCGACAGCTAAATTGCTGTAAACATTTGTTTTTTATTTTTGATATATTTATTTTTCGCCATAAGAAGAATGACAATAATAACGTCAAAATATGAAAGGGGCACAATTACTTAATTAAAATAAGAAAACCTAATAATGTTTTAATATTTTATAACTCTGCCAAGAGAGAAAGATAATAAATCATTCGATGGTTCGTTAAGCAAATTTCTGTTGAAGCACGGCTGAAGAAACAACATCTAAACGATTAGAAGGAATATGTTTCCGTTCTTCTTCATTATGTCCATTTTTTTGATATATTAGAGTAACACATGTATGTAAATATTTGTTAAAATTGTAAAATCAAATTTCAACTTAATTTAAGATTAGTTTTGTTAACGATATGATTGATATTGTTTTATAGTATTGCTTACTTTGCTGCTCTATTTTGCATTGCTAGATACTAAATTTTGATTTAACCGAGGATTTAACGCTTTTTTCCTTGTAGGTATGCGGGGTTAACATTCATTGAAAACACCGAGTAAATCGAAACCTTATATACTGAAACAAACATTTTATTAAATAAACTATATGTATAGGGTGAGTTTTAAATTAGTGCAAATATTTTTAGGGGTTAGGTTTAATTCGACACAAAAAACAAATCTGTGAGGTTTTTTGACTGAAAAAAAAGATTTATTTTTTATTTTTTGAAAACCTTTTTGAACTCCAACAAAATAAATATATATATTAACTACAAAAAAACATATGTTTGTGTCATATTTCAAGAATGACAGCGCCTAGCGAAAATCTAGGTACGCCACTGAATTCCACGTGAAAAACCATATGGGACTCAGTCAAATGATCTGTCCCTAATGGAACTCCAAAAACATATTTTTCCAGCAAGACGATAAA